CGTTTATTCAAAAATAGGCAGTAGCAAAGGAATATAAAACTCACGAAACGTAATAGAGCATGAGTAAATCATGGTTTTGGTGATAGCACGTTGCTGCATTGAAAATTTGTAGAGCTGACGCGAATTCCACCCGCCAATACTTAGAGCAGCAACCTTTTTTTGATACCTGAAACTAAATTTTACAGTACAGTGCTGAATAGGCCAGCTGGCGCAAATTTCACTAAATCACCGATGTCGTCGTACAGTTGAGCCGGAAAGACCATGTTTTCTTCTTGAGTAACTCTGGATTATTGAAATCAATGTTGTACCAATGTGGAACGTAGTCACTGAGAAAAGCTTAGGAGAAAGCGCTGACTCAGGCACAGCAAGCTGCAGAACGAATAATGCTTGAAACGTTTCATCGTGATCACAGTGGGCTCATCGTCGAATGAGAAGCGTAAAAGGTTTCATTACTACTGCGCAAGGAAATCAAAACTCAGTGGGCAGATTATTCGCTGACCCTGCTGACAGGAATATTTGCAGAATGCCGTGAAAAAATGAATGGCCGTCTGAGCATTCTTTGAAGAAGTGGCCCACGTACATTAAACGAAAAGGCACCTGTCGAAGACATCCATTTCAGGATCTCTGGACGTAATATAGCTATGCCCGACATGCAGGTGAATCACAACAATATTACTAGTAGCGAGTAGCCGGGTAGAAGAGGGGCTGTTAATCTTAGTAATTATTATAGCACTTGAAGATTGAAAAAATAAGAAAATAAATTTTTTTAGACGGGATGTAAAATATAAAATATCCCAAGCAATCTAACAATTAATTTTTCCTTTTTTAAGATAGAAGAATGCCTGCTCGGCATATTTCTCTCAGGCTCAACTTCCAAGTATTTTTTATCTCCTGCACATCCTAATGATAATAAGTGAAGCGCGTGGAAAACGGCCTACCTTTTCATACTGCACACAACTGCAAGAATAAAAATAATACTGAGACAGGTGTAGAATGTCCGTGTGCTCAATATTATCGCATAGATTTGAAAATTGAAAGCATGTGATATTCTGCAATCATAGAAAAATATGTCAAAATGTTCCATGTTCATTTTCTTGCAGTGATACTTTCTTGCGAGCACATGTGACGTGTTCAGGCTGTGAGTAAGATGAATGCTATTTTCAGCCCATCATATTTTACTTCTTTTCTTGGAACTCAATTTACTCTGCATCTTTTCAAAGCTGCTACTAATTTTCAGAGCAAAAAGAGCTAGTTTTGCAATGTGAAGAATTTTGAGTGATTTTTCGTAATCGTCACACAGGCAATTTTTCTCTTGCTACAGCACCACTGTTCAGTGTAGCACCTAACAACTTTATGGTTACAGTAATGATAAAAACAATTTACTTGCACTGAATGCTGATATTTCTCGATGGCTGCATCAGTGTATAACCACACATTGTGAGCGTCGGTGTAACGGCAATTGCATATAATAAATATAATAAACGCTTCATGATTTTAAAACTATTGTTGTAGTAATAAACCGGCATAATGATGGCCAACATTCGGTCAATACTGTGAATCAACAATCCTGCAGCATTTAGCAGGGTGCCCAGCAACAGCACTGCAGTTGCCTGAAAAGGCGTCAAATAATTATAGCCGCTGTGTATGATTAAATCATGAGCTGAAACACTTTTTACAATTTTCTTTCTATCAGAAGAAGGGC